CTAAAGCTAAGAAAAAGCTAAGCTAAAGCTAAGCTAAAGCTAAGCTAAAGCTAAGCTAAAGCTAAGCTAAAGCTAAGGCTAAGCTAAAGCTAAGCTAAAGCTAAGCTAAAGCTAAGGAAAAGCTAAGCTAAAGCTACGCTAACACTAAGCTAACGCTAAGCTAGCTAAGCTAAAGCTAAGCTAGAGCTAAGCTGAAGCTAAGCTAAAGCTAAGCTGAAGCTAAGCTGAAAGCAAAGCTAAAGCTAAGCTGAAGCTAAGCTGAAGCTAAGCTAAAGCTAAGCTGAAGCTAAGCTGACGCTAAGCTAGAGCTAAGCTAAAGCTAAGCTAAAGCTAAGCTGAAGCTAAGCTAAAGCTAAGCTAAAGCTAAGCTAAAGCTAAGCTAAAGCTAAGCTAAATCTAAGCTAGAGCTAAGCTAAGGCTAAGCTAGAGCTAAGCTGAAGCTAAGCTAACGCTAAGCTAGAGCTAAGCTAAGGCTAAGCTAAAGCTAAGCTGAAGCTAAGCTGAAGCTAAGCTAGAGCTAAGCTGAAGCTAAGCTAGAGCTAGGCTGAAGCTAAGCTGAAGCTAAGCTAGAGCTAAGCAAAGCTAAGCTAGAGCTAAGCTGAAGCTAAGCTGAAGCTAAGCTAAAGCTAAGTTAAAGCTAAGCTGAAGCTAAGCTGAAGCTAAGCTAAAGCTAAGCTAAAGCTAAGCTAAAACTAAGCTAAAGCTAAGCTCAAGCTAAGCTAAAGCTAAGCTGAAACTAAGCTAAACTGGGTGAACCCAGGGGGCGCGACTGGGGGAACCGCGGGGCGGGGACTGGGGGAACCGCCCGGGGCGATTTACACTGCCCGGCCCCTTTAAGCTAAGAGAGTAAGAACCCTTCTAGGCAGAGCCTAGGTAGGGAAAAATCGGCCCCAGAGTATTTTTGACTATTTTTCAATATTTTTCCAGCGCAATATTTTGGGAGGAGAAGGAAGGGCAAGCAGGAGGGGACGATAGCGGACAGCATGAACGGACTCGGTGCGCGGGCGAGTTTCCCGCCGACGGGGGTGCAGAGAAGCGGAGGAGGAGGAGGAGGAGGAGGAGGAGGAGGAGGAGGAGGAGGAGGAGGAGGAGGAGGAGGAGGAGGAGGAGGAGGAGGAGGAGGAGGAGGAGGAGGAGGAGGAGGAGGAGGAGGAGGAGGAGGAGGAGGAGAAGAAGGAGGAGAAGGAGGAGGAGGAGGAGGAGGAGGAGGAGGAGGAGGGAGGAGGAGGAGGGAGGAGGAGGTGGTGGTGGAGGAGGTGGAGGTGGAGGAGGAGGTGGAGGAGGAGGAGGGAGGAGGAGGTGGTGGTGGAGGAGGTGGAGGTGGAGGAGGTGGAGGTGGGGAAGAGGAGGAGGTGGAGGAGGAGCAGGAGGACGCCTGGGGCCTGTGTCAGCGTGCCGCGCCGAGGGGTGGTGGGCCAGAGCCGGCGGAGCGGCCTGCGGGGCCGAGGTTCCTGACTGATGAAAGGGTGGACAAAGCCCCCTCCTGGCGGGCGCAAGCCTGGAAAACGACGGCCGAGGAGCCCTCTCGAGAGCCGAAAACGCACAACTCACTAATCGACGTGTCGAGGTGGGGGTTCTGTCCACCCACGACTGACCGTAGATAACGTCGGGGTCCACCTTCGCCTCCCACATCTCTCTCAGTAGCGCCAGAGCCCGCTGCCACTGATCGCCCTTTTCGCACGCGCTGATCCCAGCATTGTAGCTGACTGCGTTATAGGAGAGACTAGTCTGTACCCGTGCTTGCTGCCACTGGCGGCGGGGGTTGCCGAACCATGGGTGGGCCGGGCCAGAGGGCACGAAGAGGGCCCCCAGAGGGCTTCAAGAGGGCTCCAAGAGGGCCCCAGGACGCCGCCGGGCGCGGGCCCCCCTTTCCGCCACGAGAGGCCCTTCTGTGGCAGAATGCACTTGGCCCAATCTTGGAGGGGCCCGACGGCTTCAAGAGGGCCGCAAGAGCGCCCCCAAGGGGCCCCAAACCGCATGTACTTGATATGCTTCTTGGGCTTGCGAGAGGGGCACCCAAGTACATGCGTCATGGGGCCTTGTCGGGTCCCCCCCTCTTGGGGCCTCTCGGGAGCGCTCCCACGCCATGGGCGCCTGAGGAACCGTCCTGGCGCAGTCTTGAGCCGTCTTGGGGCCCTCCTGGCAGCCTCCTCAGGCGTCTTGGAACTATCTTGAGGGCTTGTGTGGCCGTCTTGGACGCTTCGAAGACGAAAAACGGGAACTCCGAAATGCACGTTTTCCCAAGGGATTTTGACGATTTCTCCTTGTTCGGGCTCTCCTGGGGCTCTCTCTGGAGCCCAATTGGAGCATTTTGGGGGCCTCTTGGGCCGTCGGGCGGCTGTCTTGGGCGTCTTCGAGCGCTCGGGGGCCGTCTCGGAGACCCTCTTGGACCGTCTTCGGGCCCTCTTGGGGGCCTCCTCCAAGGGCGGCTCGGAGCGCTCTTAAACCATCTTGGGAGCGCGCCGGGGCCCTGGGGCTTCGCCAGTGGCCGCCGGATGGGGCCGGTCCGCTGCCGCTGCTCGACAGTTTGGCGAGCGGTGAACGCTGCATTATTATAGGAGAGATGACATTGGGCTCCAGTTTTGCCTCCCACGTCTCTCTCAGCAGCGCCAGAGCCCGCTGCCACTGATCACCCTTCTCGCACGCGCTAATCCCAGCGTTGAAACTGATGACGTCTGGCTCCAGCTTCGCCTCCCAAATCTTGCTAAGCAACGCCAGAGCTCGCTGCCATTGGAAGCCGTTTCCGCAAGCGCTGATCACAGCGTTGTAGCTGATGACGGACGCTTCGAGCTTCGCCTCCCAAATCTCGCACAGCAGCGCCAGAGCCCGCTGCCACTGCTCGCACTTCTCGCACGCGCTGATCCCAGCGTTGTAGCTGAACTAGGGCGAACCCGTGGACTTCGTCCACGTCATCTTGGGCCAATCTTGGCTCGAAAATGCCGTCTTGGGCCTGTCTTCGCTCGGAATGGCGAGAAGGTGGAAATCTTTCAGAAACCATCGAATAATCAATTATTTCGTTTGCCGCGGCCCGTCTGGAACGTCTTCGAGCGGTCTTGGGCCGTCTCGGAGGCCCTCTTGGACCGCTTCCTTCTCTTCGTCCGCCTTCCGCTCTACCTCCGCCTAGACAGCCTTCGGAGCGTCACAGACGGCTATGGTGGGTCTGCGGTGTACGTCTCGCCGCTTGTCAATGTTGTAAGCACCTGGGGCCTTGAAATTATCCAGGCGAAGGACCCAACCATATGCAGTTGTGAGTACCGCAATTGTGAATATCTTCTTCGGTGGCGCTCCCTATGGGGCCACGAAACGTGTGAGGGGTGTGCCGAAATGGATGTGCGGGACGCATGCGGACACACCCACTGGGACCTTCGGTGGAGCTCCCTATGGGGCCACGAAGCGTGTGAGGGGTGTGCCGAAATGAGTGCGCGGGACGCATGCGGGCACACCCACTGGGACCTTCGGTGGAGCTCCCTATGGGGCCACGAAGCGTGTGAGGGGTGTGCCGACATGAGTGTGCGGGACGCATGCGGGCACACCCACTGGGACCTTCGGTGGAGCTGCCTACGGGGCCACGAAACGTGTGAGGGGTGTGCCGAAATGGGTGTGCGGGACGCATGCGGGCACACCCACTGGGACCTTCGGTGGAGCTCCCTATGGGGCCACGAAACGTGTGAGGGGTGTGCCGAAATGGGTGTGCGGGACGCATGCGGGCACACCCACTGGGACCTTCGGTGGAGCTCCTATGGGGCCACGAAACGTGTGAAGGGTGTGCCGAAATGGGTGTGCGGGACGCATGCGGGCACACCCACTGGGACCTTCGGTGGAGCTCCCTATGGGGCCACGAAACGTGTGAGGGGTGTGCCGAAATGGGTGTGCGGGACGCATGCGGCACACCCACTGGGACCTTCGGTGGAGATGGGGCCACGAAGCGTGTGCGGGGCATGCGGGCACACCCACTGGGACCTTCGGTGGAGCTCCCATGGGGCCACGAAACGTGTGAAGGGTGTGCCGAAATGGGTGTGCGGGACGCATGCGGGCACCCCACTGGGACCTTCGGTGGAGCTCCCTATGGGGCCACGAAACGTGTGAGGGGTGTGCCGAAATGGGTGTGCGGGACGCATGCGGGCACACCACTGGGACCTTCGGTGGAGCTCCCTATGGGGCCACGAAACGTGTGAGGGGTGTGCCGAAATGGGTGTGCGGGACGCATGCGGGCACACCCACTGGGACCTTCGGTGGAGCTCCCTATGGGGCCACGAAACGTGTGAGGGGTGTGCCGAAATGGGTGTGCGGGACGCATGCGGGCACACCCACTGGGACCTTCGGCGGAGCTCCCTATGGGGCCACGAAGCGTGTGAGGGGTGTGCCGGAATGGGTGTGCGGGATTATGACGATGATGATGATGATGATGATGATGATGATGATGATGATGATGATGATGATGATGATGATGATGATGATGATGATGATGATGATGATGATGATGGGAGGAGGGAGGAGGAGGAGGGGGAGGAGGCGGGAGGAAGGAGGAAGGAGGGGACGCGGGGCGCTGTCTCTTCAAAACGAGGACCCAACACCACAGGATGGTTGGGAAAAAGTCACCCAGAGGGCTCTGGAGACTTTTTTCCGGCTGCCTCTTCGAAGCCTGATGGCGGGCGCTGCCGTATCCTTGGGAACGGTTAGTGGGCCTCTCGGGGTTTCTTTTCGAGCTCCTGGGGGCCTGTTGGGGCCTCGTTGGCTGTCTTGCGGCCTCCTAGGGGCCTCTTGGGGCCCTCTTGGGCCGTCTTGCGGCCTCCTGGGGGCCTTTGAATTTTTTTGGGGCGCTTCTGGGGCCGTTCCCAGGCTGTCCCCCCGAGCCTCTTCTGGGGGACAGCCCAGGAAATATATTGTGCTTGCGTGCTGTGCGTGCGTGCTCCTGTGTGAGAGCTCGGAAGGGTGTCCCGACGTCACCGCTCGCTCTTGGGAGCTGTGCCTGGGAGAGCTCTCTACGCTGCGTCTCGCTCTTGGGAGCCTTGGTGAGAAGAGCTTTGTACTTCACCGATCGCTCTCTTAGTGGGCGTCTCTGGGCCTGCTTGGTGGTCCTTGTGGGGGTCTTTTTCAAGCCATTCTGACGCTTTTTTGGGCTGCTCTGGGAGCGTTTGGGGACGTTTTGGGGCCTTTTTGGGCCGTCACGGGGCGTCCAAGAGGTCTTGGACCGTCTCGGAGCTCTCTTGAGGCTGCCTGAGGCCGTCTTGGGAGCCTCTTGGGGTCCCCTCGGAGCTCTCTCGGGGCCGTCTAGGGCTTCTGTGACGCCGTTTCAAGGCTCGCTGGCGTCGTCTTGGGGCTCTTGTGGGCCATCTTGAAGCCCTCTGGGGGGCCGCTGGCGTCTTCTTGTGGCGATTTGGGAGGCCTCTTGGCGTGTCCGGGGCCGCTGAGGGGCACACGAGGCGGGCATGCTGAACATATACGTTTTCCCATGGGAATTTGACGATTTGTGCCTCTTTGGCGTGCGCTCGGGGCCCTCTTGGGGCGTCTTTGCGGCCCCTTGGATCGTCGTGGAGCCCCCCCCGGAAGGCTTCGGGCCCTCGTGGGCCGTCTCGGGACCCACTGAGGCTGTCTTGGAATGCTCTTGGACGGTCTGGCAACCCCTCTGGAGCGCCTCTGGGACCGGCCTGAGCGATTCGGCCCCGTGGTGGCACACGAGGCGAAATAGGAGAGATAGGGCTGACCCGCGGCCTTCCGGCCGCGGAATCTGCTCGCCTCGGGGCGTCGGAAAATAAACCTCCAAATTTGGATTTATTTTTCCGTGGGTGTGGCCGCGCCCCGGGTCATACATTGGGAGGGTAGAGACGGAATACCGCAGAAACGAAACCCAGAACTCCAGAGTAAGCGCCAACGCGCAGGTTGACGAAAGACGTCTCTCCAGAACCCCTTTGCCCACCTGGAACCTCGGAGAAGAAACCTCGATCGTGGTGTTTATTTTCCGTCGCCGTGGCGGGCCGTCGAGTGGTCTTGGGGGGCTTTTTTGGGCCGACCGCAGGACCATGGAGAATGGCCTCCGAGGTTACGGAAGATTTTTCGTGGGCGTCGTTGATCCACGAACGAGCTGGGCGAGACGTCTATGCCCCATCTGGAGCCTGAGGGAAGACTTCGAAGTAGGTACTGGCATTCCGTGGACGTGGCGAGTCGACGAACGTCCTGGGCGAGGGTTGATTGCTCTGCCCCAGGGCGTCGGATAATAAACCTCGAAGTCGGGGTTCATTTTCCGTCAATGTGGCCGCGCCCCAGGGCTTCTATTCCGCCATGTAAGAACCTCTTGGGGCCCTGTTGGGCCGTCTGGCGGCCTCCTGGAAGCCTCTTGGGGCCCTCTTGGGCCGTCTTGGGTGCCCCTTGGGCCGTCTTGGGGCCGTCTGAGACCGTCTTGGGCGGCTTCGGGGCTGTCCTCGGGTCGTCTTTGGCCCCTCTTGGGGCTGCCATGGGAACCTTTTGGGCCGTCATGGGCGCCTCAGGAGCCGTCCTGGGACCCCCTTGGGCCCCCTTGGGGCCCTCCCAGGGGCCTCCGGGGCCCTCTTGTGACGATCTTGGGAGACAGTGTTGTCGTCTTGGGCGCTCTGAAAACGAAAAGCACGGGAATTGCCAAAATGAGCGTTTCCCCAAAGGATTTAGAGGATTTTTCCTCGTTCGGGCTCTCTCGTGGCTCTTGGAGCCCACTTGGTCGGGGCTCTTCTTGGAGCCCCCTTGGAGCAATTTGGGCGCCTCTTGGGCCGTCTGGAGGCTATCTTGAGCGTCTTCGAGCGCTCTTGGACCATCTCGGAGGCCCTCTTGGACCGTCTTGGGGCGTCTTGGGGTCTTCTCTGGGAGTTTCGATAGGGTCTCGGAGCGCTCTTGGGCCTTCCTGGAAGCGCGCCGAGGCCAGCTGGGGTCGCGGGGGCCCGCAGGGGGCGCCAGAGGAATGTGTCCGACCCCCGCCCTTCTCGCACGCGCGGGGCCCTGCAATGTAGTAGAGACAACGTCGGGCTCCACCTTAGCCTCCCACATCTCGCTGAGCAGCGCTAAAGCCCGCTGCCACTGCCTACCCTTCTCGCACGCGCTAATTCCATTATTGTAGCTGACCTGCGCGCAGCCGTGGACCAAATCCACGGTTGGCAGCGCCACTCTGTTGCTCGTGCCCGCGGCTTCTCGCCTCCGTGCTGCTGCTTGTTCTCGTCGCTTGATGAAATTTGTGGCCGATCATTCGTGCCGACTCTCGCTGCTGAAGGTTCGTGCTGTTGATGACTGCTGCCGCGTGCGGTTTTTGCTTGCTGCTGTTTGCACAAGTTGCCTCTCCTTGCCGTTTGCGTGTGCAGGATGAAGGTAGAGGTGCGGGGTGGGCAGGGGAACAAATGGAGGACGAGGGGAGTTGCGGGAGGAGGGCGGCGGAATCTGGAAAAGCACATAGGTCGCACCTCCTTGGGAAACGCTGGTCGGATGGGGTCGCAACCTACTTCGGGAAGGCGCGGCGAGGACTTTGAGGGGCCCCCTCCGCGCCATGTCCCACCAAGCGCGGGTTCTTTCCTGCTCTGCGCCGGAGGCGCTGCACGCTGAGGCCTGGCACTGCTGCTTGCCGGTGCCTGCTGCCGTGGCCAGCCCCAGCCTCGCCTTCCTCCTGCCTCTTTGCTTCCGGGCCGCCGGCCGCCCCGTCTGTCCAGCTCCGCCCCCTTGCACGCCGGCCAATGAAAGTATCGGTCAACACTTCTGCATCGCCGCCGGCGAAAAACAGTTTCCCGGAGGCCGATGGGCGTCTCTCTCGGGGCGCGCGGCGTACGGCTCTGGGTGGTCTGCCGGCGGTGTGGTTGAGGCCCTGTCTGGGCGGCATGGGGCCGTCGTCGAAGACGTCCTGGGGCCGTCTTGGAGGCCCCCGTTTCCATCTGGGGTGCTCTTGGTGGCGTCCTGGCCCTCTCGGGGTCGCTTCGGGTCCTCGTGGGCCCTGTCCGAAGCTCTTGTCTGGATCGTTTCGGAGCCACCTCGTGCTGAAAAGTCTCTCCCTCTCTCTCTCTCTCTCCTTCTCTCTCTAGACCTGTTTGTGCTGCTCGACCAGGGGGGAGGGCCTCGCTGCGGGCGTCGGCCACCTCGCGCCCCCCCGCTTGGGGGGGGTGCGCCTGGCGTGCCCCGGACCGCCTTCTGCTTTTCCCGGGGTGCCTGGTCTGCTGTGTGCACGGACTGCCTCCTCCTCTTCGCACGTGCAAGACCTTCCTCTGCGCAGCCTCTCTCACGCTGTCCCGACCGTCACCTGTCGGCCTTCACCCGGAATGCATCTCCCACTCCACGCCCTCCAGCTTCGGCTGTCTACTCGGTCTGACACTCCCCTTGCGGTCACTCCCAAATCTTCCCCAAGAAATCCCTGGCTCCATCTCATGGGCCGTAATTTCGATGCCTGCGCCACTCCTTCCGGCCTCCTGGTCCTCCAGGCGTTCTCTGGCACCTTCGAGGCCTTCAACTTCATGCTGGCCCTGGCCCTGCTGCTCGGACGCAGCTCGCTTGCTCGCTCTTGGTGTTCCCGTGCCGACTGACAGGGTCTGAGCGGGCCCCTCCTTTCGCCTCTCGCGCTCTCCTCTCTTTCGCTCTCGTGCCTCAATTCGCCCCCCGCGCACCCAACTGCTTGCTTTGACCGGCGCCCGACCGTCTTGCACCACTTGGCGCCCGTGGCTTGAAGCAAGTATATGCAACCAGTCATCTACATCTGTACACACATCTTTTGACACACACACACACATGCACACATATGCGTGCACACACACATGTGCATATCCATATGCACCACCGTGCGCCATTGATGCACGAGCTGGCATGTCCTCAAGTCCCTTGTAAGATCCCCTGGGGCCTCGGCCCTCAATCCGGAGGACTCTTTACTGGGCTCAGGGCCCGCATTGCCAAGTCTTCCAGGTCGCGTCGCGTGGCCCCCTTGGGGCCCGTCGCGCTGTGTCGCATGACCTTTTTCGGGGCCAAGGGGGCTCCAAGAAGCCCCCCAAGACGGCCCCGTTCTCGCCTTTTCGGTGTCCCGACGCCCCGGCTTGGCCAAAGAGGCCCCGCAGAACGCTCCACGAGGGCCCAGGAGGCCTCCAAGAGGGCCCCGAAACGGCCCAAGAGGTCCCCACGGCTCCAAGAGGGGGTCCCGACGGGGGACCCGGATGAACATTTCAAGTCCTTGGTCCCTGGAGGCCCCGAGGAGGCCCCACGAAGAGGCCGCCAGGAGGCTGCAAAGAGGCCCCCAGGGAGCCCTACAAGGCCCCCACGATGCTCCTGAGAGGCACCCAAGAGGCTCTCAAGAGGCCCCCAAACTGCTCCCAAGAGGCCCCCAAACTGCCCCCAAGAGGCTCCCAAGAGGCCCCCAAGAAGCATCCCTGAGGACTCTGACCCACAACCAAGGCACGGTGGCGGGAAAGGCCGAAGGCAACTTTCTGTTCTGTTCTCTCGGTTGGTTGGTTCTGTTAAGATCAGCATGCTTGGTTATGTTCTCTCGGTCTTCACCTCTACGGGGGGCTCTCCCGAGACGACCTGAGGGTCTCTTGAAGCCATCTTGGGGCAATGTCTGTCCCTCGTGGGACCTCGTGGGACTCTCTGGGACTCAATCTTAACAATGGTGCTGGACACTTCGGCTTTCTTGGGGCGCTGTGAGGGCGTCCTGGGCCCTTGGGCTGGCACCGGGGGCCTGCAAACCAGTACTGCTTTGATTTCTGGCACGCGCCTCGCCTGGACATTTACTTATATTGACGTTGGCCTCCACCTTCGCCTGCACCATTTCGCCGAAAATCAGCAAGGCCCGCTGCCACTGCCCACCTTGTCTGCATGCGCTAACAGTCGCAATATAATCTCCTCTGCTGACAGGCAAACGCAGTCTAGAAGCTTCGCCGAGCAATTGCAGCGCTGTGCTCCAGCGCTTTGCCTTGCCACACCTCTGGACGGCCACTTTGGCGGAAGAAGCATCTTGTCGGGATCCCCACCTGGTCTGCAGCATCTACAGGCATCTCGAACCATGGTTGCTTGAACCCTCCTCCTCCCTCCTGCTTCTCCTCATCCTCGTCCACCTCCTCTCCACCTCTCCCCCCTCCCCCCTCGCGAGGAAGACATGGAATCGACTTGCTCGCTCGCCAGGCGAGGGTAGGAGCATGAGTGTGGATGAAAGGGCGAGGGGGAGGAGAAGGAAAAGGAAGAGGAGGAGGAGGCGGAGGAGGAGGAGGAGGAGGAGGAGGAGGAGGAGGAGGAAGAGCAAAACCAGGGTCACCTTGGCCAACTCGAGCGAGCCAGCAAGCCCCGCCCGCTCCCCCCCCGCCCTCTCATAATATCACGACCATAACTGGCGCAAGTTGACACTGGGAAGCGTTCGCGCGCGAACTCACATAGCGAATGGGGAAGCTTCGCACGCGGTCCTGCTTTCGATGACTCGGTCAACGGACAAAAAACGCGGGGCCACCCACGGGCGGGAGCGGGACCAAAGCAAGCCCAGCCGTTCGTTGTTTTTCCCCTGTTTCCCCCCGGCAACGAACGGGCTCGATGGCGCACGCCACCCCTCAGCTTGTCTTGTGCCGCGTGCAGCTGAACAGCACCGAGACAGGATAACAAACATGATATTGAAAAGAACAAAGGCCCAACCAACATCCACGATGCTGCAACTGCACTGCCCCCCGTCACAAGTTCCTATCTCAACAATCAGCGCAAGTTTTTTTTCCCCAAACCATCCTGTGGTGTTGGGTCCTCGTTTTGAAGAGACGGTGCCCCGCGTTCCTCCTCCTTCCTCCCGCTGCCCCCTCCCTCCCCCTTGCCTCTGCCCTCCGCATGTCTCTGTTTCGGCACATCCCTCACGCGTTCCGTGGCCCCATAGGGAGCTCCACCGAAGGCCCCAGTGGCAGGGTCCGCATGGCGGCCCCGCATTTTGGCGCACCCCTCACACGGTTCGTGGCCCCATAGGGAGCTCCACCGAAGGCCCCAGTGGCAGGGTCCGCATGGCGGCCCCGCATTTTGGCGCACCCCTCACACGGTTCGTGGCCCCATAGGGAGCTCCACCGAAGGCCCCAGTAGCAGGGTCCGCATGGCGGCCCCGCATTTTGGCGCACCCTTCACACGGTTCGTGGCCCCATAGGGAGCTCCACCGAAGGCCCCAGTGGCAGGGTCCGCATGGCGGCCCCGCATTTTGGCCCGCCCCTCACACGGTTCGTGGCCCCATAGGGAGCTCCACCGAAGGCCCCAGTGGCAGGGTCCGCATGGCGGCCCCGCATTGGGGCGCACCCCTCACACGGTTCGTGGCCCCATAGGGAGCTCCACCGAAGGCCCCAGTGGCAGGGTCCGCATGGCGGCCCCGCATTTTGGCGCACCCCTCACACGGTTCGTGGCCCCATAGGGAGCTCCACCGAAGGCCCCAGTGGCAGGGTCCGCATGGCGGCCCCGCATTTTGGCGCACCCCTCACACGGTTCGTGGCCCCATAGGGAGCTCCACCGAAGGCCCCAGTGGCAGGGTCCGCATGGCGGCCCCGCCCCATGTTGGCGCACCCCTCACACGGTTCGTGGCCCCATAGGGAGCTCCACCGAAGGCCCCAGTGGCAGGGTCCGCATGGCGGCCCCCCATTTTGGCGCACCCCTCACATGGCTCGTGGCCCCATAGGGAGCTCCACCGAAGGCCCCAGTGGCAGGGTCCGCATGGCGGCCCCGCATTTTGGCGCACCCCTCACACGGTTCGTGGCCCCATAGGGAGCTCCACCGAAGATGATGCCCACAATTGCGGTATTAACAACTGCTTATGGTTGGGTCTTTCGCCAGGCTAATTTGTTTTCTATCTGTTGTTTTTTTGTTCTTTTTTTTTCACTGCGGCCAACAACCGCTAGAGACGTGATGCCCCAAAGGCTTGCATGGTGGGAACCCAATGTGTTTTTAAACTTGCATCAGCGGTCATGCTCATATTCGACCAGCTTAGGTTATGGAGAGCAACCAATTTGAGAGGGACTCGCTCTTCACACGTGCAGCTGGTGAAAGCTCTAACGCGCGCGAGCACGGCGCGGAAACGCGAACACGTGGCGTTGTTGTTGAGCTCTCATTCTTGAAAATTAATCATGGTTGATCCCCCCACTGGCGCTCATTCTGTCTTTCAACTGAAGTGCGCCCCTCGGGGTTCGTATTTTGTTTTTCATAAGGGGAAGCTCCTGCTCAAACTACGTTGTTGGGACCCGAACTGCAACAACAGCGGCTCCCGCCTGACACTTCCTCACCATTTATTCCAACATCACGCTCGCGCGAGGGCGCTGCTTGGGCCCCCAAGTCCGGAGATGCAGGCGATGCAGCTGATGGCAGCGGCCATGCCCACTCCGATGACCTTCCATCCAAAGTGGAGCCCCTTCCAGGTGTCGAGGAGGCGTGACAGTCCTGTCGCCCACCAGCGGCGATGTTCGAATAGTGGACCTCGAAGCCGTCGTGGGTATCGGTCCCGGGTATGTCCTTCCTCATCAGCGTATTGGGTCTTCTCTTCTGTCTTATGATTGGTGTGCGAACTGCACTTGGAGCACCCCGCATCGTAGTTGCGGGAGATCTCGTCGTGCGTCGCATTCTCACTGTACTGATTACTGCCAACTGTACGATAGTCAAGAGGAGTGTACATAGGGATCCAGGCCTGCCAGGAATCAGGGAGTGCGCAGGAAATGCGAAGGGTCATGATCCAGAACACCGATAACGAGTAGTCCCAACTTCGTGCAACAGTCCCTCGGAAGGCTGGCAACATGGATGCCAACCCCCCGCCATACTCCCGCTCTCCTTTCCCGGCTTCCGCAACGCAGTTGCGGATAACTCGGGGCGCTTCGCCTGCGCCGATGATGTGGACGTCGGTTCGATCGGCACCTTGGCATTACCAGCCACACCCACATGCGGATGCAATGGAGACGATGTGTCCTTTGCCTCTTCTCCCAGGGCCCTGTGCCAACGCCGTAGACGCGTGGACGTTGTATCCAGCAGTAATCAGACGCCAACGGCGGCACCCACCGTTGAATGCCATGAAGACGTAGGGCCCCTGAACATCTCGAACAAAATTCGAACATGCTCGAAGAGAGAAGCCGGGACTGGGGGCACGCGGTCCTTCTTGTAGGTGTCCAGGTGTCATGTAGCGGTAGTCGTACTGTGTCTCTTGCTTTGTTCCTGGCGGCTGGGCCGGCGGGGCCCTGAATGCCCCTAGAGGCGAGTCGCCTGCCGCACCGAAGTGGGTGACCAGCCCGAATGTAGAGCAAGCGCGCGTGGTACTCGTAGATGTAGAGCGGGATGTAAAGCGGTCGCCACCGGCACGGGGCAGAGCCTCGCGGGCCATTGCGGCGGCGAAGGGCCGCGGAACGGGTCTTCTGCTACCAGCAGAGCGAACGGTGAAAGAAGAGTCCTTCTGTGCAGCGGTGTGACGACTGTACCGTAAAGCGGGCGCGGCAAGCATCCGTGAGCCAAATGCCTATGGAGTTCCCCCGCGTGCCCGCATGCTGAGTCCCACTGAATGGGGCCCAACAGCTTGCCCGTATCTTCATATATAGCCTAGAGTTCGAGTAAGGGAAAGCAGAGGACGAGGAGGAGGAGGGGGAGGACGAGGGGGAAGAAGGAGGAACAGGAGGAGGAGGAGGATGAGGAAGAAGAGGAAACGGAGGAAGAGGAGGACGCGGAGGAGGAGGAAGAGGAGGTGGTGGAGGAGGAGGAGGAGGAGGAGAAGGGGGAGGAGGAGGAGCAGGAGGAGGAGGAGGAGCAGGAGGATGCGGAGGAGGAGGCGGAGGAGGAGGAGGAGGAGGAGCAGGAGGACGCGGAGGAGGAGGAGGATGAGCAAGAGCAAGAGGATCAGCAAGAGAAGGAGGAAGAGGAGGAGAAGGAGGAGAAGGGGGAGGATGAGGAGGAGGAGGAGGAGGATGGGAAGGAGGAGGAGGAGGAGAACTGCGCTCGCAGCTCTGCCAGTTTGAATGCGTCGCTGCACAAGGCTAGCAGCGTGAGCCTTCCGCTGCCAGCCCCTCTTGTTGGCAACGAGCACTCTTCGGATGGCCTCTCAGCAGATAATTTGGTGCCCCTCACGATCCGCACCATCAATGCCAACTCATGGGGCACGTTGAAGGGTCTGTTGTAAGATTGCTCTACCCACATTGTGCTCGCTCAAGAGCACCGTCTGGTTTCTAAGGAGAACATCGAGCAAGCCAATGCATGGTGCACTCGCAGAGGATGGAAGTCGGTCTGGGCCCCAGCCGCCCCCACCCAGGCTCAGGATTCCAGTGGGAGGGGGGGTCGCCATTTTCGTGCGCTCCTGGATGTATTGCCTGTCCATCGAAGGTGCCATCGCGACGCTTGGGAGATGCATCGCTTGCTCGGTCCACCTCCCTGGGCCTCCCCCCCATCGTCGTTGTGTCTGCTTACCTTCACCACTCAGGAGGTCCCAATGATACCAATCTCGGCCTGCTTGCCAAGCTAGGTGCGCAACTGTCGGCAGTCGGCCAGCCGTGGGTGCTCGGGGCCGAGTTCAATTTCGAGCCTGCTGAGCTCGAGTCTTCGGTGTTCTTCTCTGAGCTAAAGGAAAGCCTCATTTCCCCTGCGGTCGCCACCCACTACCCCGCTGGCCCTCCCACCACCTTCGACTATTCTATGTGCTCTGTTGGATCGATCGAGGCGCTGTTGGACGCGGAGCTCTCACCCCATCGGCCTGTCCAGTTAGTGTTCCATCCCCAGTTGGTTGTCCTCCAGGCGCTCACATCTAGGAAGCCTCCCCCCCTCCCCCCTTGCCTTGCAGGAAGGTGTTCGGGCCCTCTCCTGGATTGGAGAGGTCGCCCTCGCTGCTTCGGCGGAGCAGTGCCTGGAGGTGGGGGACTTTGATGGGGCCAAAAGGTTGTGGAGGCCGCTTTATCGCCGTTGGGCTGACCACGCCGAGCGCGACCTTGCCCCCCTTGTCGGAGTTTCCGCCCGAAGCTCGGTACCAGAGGCCTCGGCCCCCAACTTGCGTGGAAACCGATTCTCGCTAAAGACAGGAAGGTGCGTTACCTATCTCACCGAGCCATC